TGTAGAATAAATTACATAATATTTTTTAATTTATAAAAATTAAAACAAAATATTATAAATGACAATTATATTAAATAGAGTCTTAAAAATTTATTAATTTTATTCTAAGATTTTAAAACGAAAATTAAAACTAAAAACTATAACCATATCAAGCAAAATCTAAATTTGCAAATTTACTAACAATTTTATCAAGTCAAGACACAATGAAAAAGATATAAGAGAACAATTTACAAATAATACAACAATAACTAAGAAACAAGTTCTTTAATACAAGTGCTACAAAATTAGATTCTTTAATTCATAAAAAATTGCAACATAATAAAATAGACTGAAGTAGAAAAGGGGAGGAAATCAGGGACAGGAGGAAAGCAAAGGAACAGTACAGAGTAAAACAGGGATTAGAATAGAATAACCAGATGTCAGAACAGGGGAAGCCTGGAAGCCATTCATGCCCCAGCAGGGAAATAATTTCCGTTAATTCCCAAATCCAATCGAATACCAAACCATTTTTTTCATAATGTTTCAAATAATAACAATAATAATAACCAAATTAGTTTTTTTATCTAACAATTAACTGAACTTTTCGATCTGGGAATTAACTGAATTATTAGGCTATTAGCCCTAAATGATGTTTATTAACAAATAAGTTTAGTTTAAAGTGCTGGTTCAAGTCTTAAACATGAACAATTAACCCCAATGGTTGGAAGTAATTACTTGTTTTTCAAAATAAATTTCAAATTTTTTCTTAAATTTGATATAATGTTTGCTATCAAATATCAGTTGGCATAGAATATTCATTATTCACCACCATCGAATTCAACAAGTTCGTAATTCAACAGCTACACCAGAAAGTACATAGCAGACATCTACTCATGTTTGATGAAAGATACAAATTTATTAACCAACTCTACAGCCTTTTCGGTGCTGAGGTTATGCAAATGGAAGCTATGCACTTCGCCTGCAGTCTCAATAATCTCCACTTCTCCTCCCCACCCACTTTTCTTCAACTCCTCATAGTAATTCTTCCCCACAACATTCAGATGGTCGTTCTCCGCCACGAAAATCAGCACTCTCTCACACCCCAGCCGAGCCAAATCTTCCGGCGGTGGCTTCAGCCTTGGATCTTCCAGTCCGCCATTGGTTGGACACATGTAAAGCCACATGTGATCATCTTCCGTACCCCCAAAAAAAGGGTGCACCAACAACACCCCCACCACCTTCGCACCAGGTAACCCGATTGACCCGACCCGAACTGCCAAGGTATGCGAAATGTTCCCTCCAGCGCTATTTCCGCTAATAAAAACCCGGCTAAAGTCGGTGTGGTCGTTCAACCACGGGTCGGGTCCGTTCCCGTTGACATGACCCACCACCCATTGGAGAGCGGCCCAAGAGTCATCGTAACAAGCCGGTATGGGTCGGGAAGGGAAGAGTCCGTACTCGACTGACACGACGATAATGCCGGCTTTGGCAGCGACCGTGCTGCAAAATTCATGGTGAGAGGGGTGGAAAGCCGACATCGTTGAGAACCCACCACCGTGGATGTAGAAGAGGAGAGGGAACTTCTGGCCGGAAGTTGTGACTCTGGGTAGGAAAATACGGGCGGATACGGGTGGTTCTGAGGAGATGGTTACATCTTTGGATCGGACACCGGTGATGGGGTCATCAAAGGGTGGAATTGTGTCCCAATGAGGACGAAATAACTCGAAACGGCCATCTTTGTAAACGCGGAAGAATCTGAATTCCTTTTCAATTTCGGTGTTGTTGGACGCCATGGGGAAGACGAAGATAAGCTAAACAAGATGGGGGATTTTATTGTATTGCTTGTTCGATGGGCCATCCGAAATAAAATGCTACTTAACATTCTACTTAAATGCGGTACCGAGAAGTCTTGGCCAAAGTTGCGAAAAAAAATAATGAGAAATCAAAGTTTTTGCTTTTGTTTATATATTTATTTATTTTTTACACCACATGATATGTTAGTATATAATATATAATAAAAATAACTTTTCTCCTTCTAATAAAAAACCACTGCTTTAACAAAAGGCAAAACCATAAGTTAAGCCCCTGAACCAACCCCAGAATCGCTATTAAGCCCCTAGACTGTAATTGATGCATATAAGCCCTCGAACTCGGG